CCCGAGGCGGCGAGGCTGGGCAAGCTGACCTCATTGCGGCCAGAGGAGTGGGAGGCGCTCAGGACATCACACCAAGATAGGGGCAGAAACCTGGAAGAGGGGGACGGCGTTTACCAAGACAGGGGATGCGGGGGGAGGAGAAGGTTTGCTGGAGAGAATTAACCGAGTTTTTGAACGCCACAGCAGTGAGGCCTGGGACGGCCGAACTTCCAGAGGCGGAGAATCCTGGCCCCATCAGGTCATCTAAGGACCTACAAGTCGGGAACGAACGGCTGCTCAAGGGGAAACGTATTGAAGTAGAGTGCCTGCTGAGAGCTGAGTTATTGTCATAAAAATACTCAGAACAGCGCGACAGCCTTCCTACTCGTGCAGCATGCCTGCGCGTTGGTGAAACGGGGTGGGGCTTTCAGTCGTGTCCCCTCCCTTCAGCACCTCTGCCTGGGATGCTTAAGGAGACGGACGGGTCTAAGAGAAATAGCTCTTTAGTCGTGTAGGGGAGGAAAGATAATTTCCCTCTGCCCCTCTGAGTTCTTGGCTGAGACTCCTGTGATAAGAAAAAAAGAAAAGATTAACAAGAGGAAACAGGAGTTTATTGACATGTGTACGTCCCGTATACATGGGAGGTAGGGGGAAATGAGTAGCTCACCGGTGGCTTTAGAGTCAGAATTAAATACCAGCTTAGTAAGGAAAGGAGAGGCAGGACGTCGTCCTCTGGTGAAAGCTAACGGTTTTTAGGAATGATGAATGAACCCTTAGGCACACGGAGGGAGGCGTGATAGTTCGTCTGGGTGTGATAAGAGTCCATCTTCCCCGGTTGGTGGAACTCCCAGAACAGTGATGGCGAACCTACGACACGCGTGTCAGAGGTGACACGCGAACTCATTTTTTTGGTTGATTTTTCTTGGTCAAATCGCATCTAAATATATAAAATAAATATCAAAAATATAAGTCTTCGTTTTACTATGGTTGCAAATATCAAAAAACTTCTATATGTGACATGGCACCAGAGTTAAGTTAGGGTTTCTCAAAATGCTGACACGCCGAGCTCAAAAGGTTCGCCATCACTGTCCCAGAAACAGATTTGTGGCAAATGGGTTCGTGTTGCATGCCTGTCTGTAGGCAGGTAAGTAAGGGAAGTTCAGAGAAAGCCTCTCTGTGCGTGTGCCGGTTTTCAACTGCCTACAGCTCGAAAGAATCAGAATACCCAAGCGGCAATTGTGAGGTGGGACGTCCTGAAACTCCTGGAGTAATATTTCGGGGTGGCACATTCTGCTACCCTTCAGCGGGAACCCCAGCCTGAATCATAATTCTGGTTCTCTTCGATTTTTGTTTCCTTCTCTGGCAAATAAACTATATTTCACTGAGGTCTTTGGAGCTATGCCTGTCCTGTGACATATCGTGACATATGAATTTGAGCTCCCTGTCTGAGAATATAATGTCAGCCTAAAGGCATCATTGGGGAGTCTTTCTCAACAAGTGACAGGTGCCGCAGCTCGAGTAGAGGAAACCAGCCCAGGAAGTTCCACAAAGAAAGGAGTGGGATGGACAGGGCAGGATGGGACCTTGGGGAGCACTGACGTTGTAGGAGGGGTGTGGAGGGGACGCCGGGGGAAGCTGAGAGGTGGAGTGGGGGTCGGGGGTGGGCAATGAGGAGAGCAGGTCGCAGGGAAGCCACCTTTGAGTTACTCATTTCCCCCCACCTCCCATGTATACAGGAAGTATACATGTTAATAAACCTGTGCTTTCTCTTACTAATCTGTTTTTCTCATCACCGGAGTCTCAGCTGAGAACTCAGAAGGGTAGAGGGAAGATGATATTTCCCTGCAGCAGGTGGAAAAGATCTGCAGGAGGGAGAGGGGCGAGAAGGGCTGCCGGGTCTCTCCGGAGCCCTGGTGGCGTCCAGGCTCCCTTCCAACTTCATTTTCCCCGTAGCCCTCACCACTCGTTAACATACTGTTTCTTTTCCTTATTTCACTGTCTGTCTCTCCCCACTAGGATGTAAGCACCCGAGGGCAGAGATTTGTGTTAATTTTCTCCACTAATGTATTCCTAGGGTAGTGCCCTGTGCATAGTACATGCAGAGTCAGGATTTATTTAAAGGATCCTAATTGGAGATTGCTGGAAATTCCAATGGGAGGAACACTGAGAAGAGAGGGCCTGTGGAGTTCACAGTTCAGAGGTCACTGGTGACTTGGAACAAAACCCTTTTAATGGAGGGCTAACCCCCAACACACATTTGCAGTTTGCTCTGGAGTCAACAGGCTGTACCGAACAGGAAGTGATAAATCTGAACTTGCCTGTGAGTGTGCAACCCATACTGGATTGGAAGACGTAGTATGACTAAAAGACTGTAACATGACACAGTAATAATTGTTTATATTTTTCACATTATTTTATACTTACATTATATTATCTATTTTTATATTTGACTAGAGGCCTGGTGCACAGATTTGTGCACCAGTGGGATCGCTCAGCCTGCCCTGCGGGAATCTCCAACATCCCCTGAGGGGTCCCAGATTGCGAGAGGGTGCCTCTCGGGTGACAAACCCTGGAATCAGGCTCCCTCCTCTCTGGTTCCGGGTGCGTCACCTGAGAACCGCAGCTGCCAAGTCACCGCAGCTCGGCAGCTCCTGCGTTGAGCATCTGCCTCCTGGTGGTCAGTGTGCATCATAGCTACTGGTTGGAGTGTCTGCCCCCTGGTGGTCATTGTGCGTCATAGCTACCAGGTGGACGGTCAAACAGTTGGATAGTCACTTAGGCTTCTATATATATATATATGCCTTTTATATATTTTATATATTGAGTGAAATAAATTTTTACTTTTTTAATAGGGCTACTAGAAAATTTTAATTGACACACATATGTGGCTCATGTTATATGTCTATTGGACAGAGCTGGTCTAGACCACTGTTTTGAGAAATTGGGCAGTGAAGGAAAGAAGTAAAATGATATCTTGAAAGATATGAAAGGTTAAATGAAAACTTTTGTTTAGTACGTATCAGAAAGAACTGGGGTTTTTTAGACATGGAGGAATGATGCTATGGACAGGGGAAGGTGGAAGCATCAGAGCACAGAAGACATTCCATAGAAATAAGTGACGGTGAGGATGGGCCAGGGCAGGGCGGGGCTCAGTGAAGTGAGCGGGTGTGGGTGGCAGGAGGCTGGAGCGTCATTATCAAAGTGGAGCCTGGAGGGACTGGGGGTGCGGCTGGACGAACAGAGGACCATGCCGGTCTATTCTTGGAGCAGAACTTTGTTACAACTACCCCACCCCCGCCCATCCTCCCAGGTGCCCTATGAAGTCCCTTGTGATCAGGTACCAGGGGAGGGGAGAAGGGAGCCACATGAAAGGGCAAAGCAGAGTAAGTATAGTGAGAGCTCTTGAGTGAGTTCTGAGGCTTATGTGCCGATGTGGTCAACAAGGAGTAGAGAGCTGAGAGCTAGAGAAACATGGAGGCTGCCTTGCACACAGCCCCATCGCATCTTAGAGTGTCGGCAGCATCCACTAGACCCTCTCTCCTTCAGGGCAGGTGGTACATCTGTGCCAAGTCAGAGGACACACGGAGACAGGACTTGCCACTGTGGTTGGGAGGTTAAGAGGGGAACCTTTTAAATAATTACATCAGCCACTGATTCTGAAAGGGAACTTCTCAGGGTGCTTAGGGGTGGTGATCTGCTTGGAAGGAAGGGCAGAGGTGAAACGAAGAAATTAATGTTAAAGCCATGTTTGCCGACAGGCACGCTGTTGTTAGCCTGTGTGTTCATTTGGGCGGTGCCATCTCATGCTACTCATTGGCATCACCGCTGCCTAGAACCACAGAGTTCAGGTGTTGGGCTCCCAGGGCAGGGCTGTCATACACCCGCAGTCTCCGAAATGATTGCCCTCTGGCCTGGAGGAGAAAGTGAGCGATTAATGCGGGATCTGAACAGGGAAAAGCCCGGAACTCCAGGCCAGGCTCTCCACGGAGCCGCCGTCACCCAGTCCTCCCTGCGCTCCGTATGCCATCCCCACTGCGACTTCCTTCTTATCCTAAGGTGACTTTTCATATCAACCCACTCTCTCTGTGTAGCCCAGGAGACTACTTCGAGTCAACTTGGCATAGGACAGACACGACAGAGCAGTGAGAACCTGGGCAAGTTAACCTCAGAAACCACCCTGATAAACCCTGAAGTGAAATCTGCAAAGTCCATGCGAGGGAGCATGCTGTTTTCCAAAAACAGGTCAGAGCATGGCTCTGGGTCTCAGAAGCAGCATCACCAGCATCCGCCTGAAACGCCGCAGGTACAAACCAGCGCTCCCCAGAAGCGGGCTGGGATCCTTTCTCC